TATATATATATATATATATATATATATATATATATATATATATATATATATATATATATATATATATATATATATATATATATATATATGTGTGTGTGTGTGTGTGTGTGTGTGTGTGAATATGTTGTTCAGGAGGTTCACGATGCTGTTCATGGATGGTTATGAGCATTTTTGGTCCAAAGCCAAAGGGAAACCGAGCTGTTACTATGACTGGATTGGTTGTATCTCGTTAAAAGATCACGTAAATTGTATTTATCTAGCAGCATGGATAACCTTATCGGCATCGCGATCGCCCTGACTTCACTGCGTACTGCTACTCATACGAAGATCCAAATCGATATTGGTGAGTCAGCAGGACAACCACGCACGTACATCAAAAATTTCCTCGTAACATAACCTACTTACTAATCAAGCGGCCGTGCATCACCAAAACTCAAGCTACACCACACGAGGAATAAGATCTAGCAAAACTCAACAGTAGCACGCGCTCACAAATGTACATTAAAAATAAATCACACTGTCGCCATTCATGTATTTTTGACTCGATCATAAACAAACAGATTCCGCTAAAGTGTTGCGATGATACTTCATGACCGTACACTTGATGAACTGTGTTACCATATAGATTTGCGATGATACTTCATGACCGAGACGAAAGTGTCGTGGAGCAGTCGATTACACATCCTACTCCGAGAAGTTGAGGAAGCGGTCCAGATGCCAATCGCTGCCCTGCGAGTTCCAAAAGGACGTAGTGCATAACAGATTCGTGTCAAGAAAGTTGACCATGTCAAACAGATTTGTGTCGAGAAAGTAGTTGACCTTTAAGTCAAGCATGATCTTGGTTGCAAATATATAATCACTCACAACAAACTTCAACATAACATGCGCATATGAACATCATCATCTTATCACAGAATTGCTGATGGAGTACGTACGCATCAACAATGCCGCACCAAAGTCTAACACACACAAGCATCAACACCATGTTTCCAACATGATAAATCAGAGGCTGCTATTATTTGCAAGCTCAACGCACAAACACAAAAGTCAAAAACTATCATTCCAAATAACAAGTCATAGTGCATGTTCACAAATGCAGCTGGAGTCGGAAACCATTACGATAGCATGTTTGCTAAATGACTGACCGACAGCATCTCGGATAAGACTTCAAGTGGGACGATCCTACAACCAAGCAGTTAAAGAATGCACTCAGGTTGATGCAGATTTTTTCCTTGAATCTTATTATTCTTCTTCATCAGTAAGTGTTTCTGAACCGAGAGGTTGTTGAATCTCATATTTTGATGATAAAATAGAGGTTGTTGAATCTTGTATTTTGATGATAAAACCACTTGATATATGTTTATGATTTAATCTACATTTTGAGTGATGCAGGATGCTTCGATCAGAATGAGATAGTTAAAACAGGAAAATCATATTGTGTCGGATGAACATGTCAAAAGATTGGACGTCGGGCCGATGAATCGATCGACGTATCGACAGAAGGCTCCGGACAATAGATTCGGGCACGGGCCAAGAAGAGCGGGTATTGCGCCAAGGATATCAGAGTTGCGGAGTCAACTGGCCGATTGGGCAATAGGCCGCAAGAGAGGACGATGCGTCGAAGAATCGGACGAAGCATCGAGGGACCAATGACATGCCGGACAACTTGATTAATTGCTTAGGAGTAATTGTCTAGATCGAACTTTTGGTTTACATGTGCAGGATTAATTATGATAGCTTGAAGACATAAAGCAAGTCTACCGGAGTCAAGTTCGATGGGTGTTCGAGAGTTCGAAGATTCGTCGGAGATGCTGCTAGAACCAACCGAGAAGAAATCGAGGACTTGTTGGAGTTTTCGGAAGTCTGCCGAAGAGATCGTCGGAGGTTCGCGAAGATTACCGAGAAGGCTCGGCTACTCGCTGAACTCGCCACAAGATCGGGAGCCTGCTGGGAGTCCGCTGGAAGAAATCCGAGGGTGTATCGGAAGTCCGCCGGAAGATCGCCGGAAAGCTTGCCGGAAGGAGACTCGACGTTTGCCGATTGAAAACTTGCTTAGGACTATGTTTTCAGTTGCGTAGTTTGCATATAATTAGGGTTAGGATTAAGGGATAATCTTATATCCTGGTTATGGGCCAACTGGGCCCGATATTACCTAGTTTGGGCCAGATTTGAAGCCCATCTAGTGACCCGTAGGATTGGGCGGTGGAATCATCGGACTGGGCGGTGGCACCGCCCAGAACCCGAGAATCGGGCGGTGGTACCGTCGGATTGGGCGGTGGCACCGCCCAGCACTCGAAAGGTTCGGCGGTGGCATCGCCAGTATCAGGAACCCAAGAGAATTCAAAATTTGGAGCCCAAATTTGAATCCTTTTGGGGCCTATAAATACCCCTCAATTCTTAGCAGAGAATACAACCTTTGAGAAGTTAGAGATTGAGATAAAGCCTTGTTTTTAATTGCTTGAGTGTTCACCTCCTTCTTTCTCATTGAAAATTTGTAAGAGTGTGAACCACTTGTAAAAGGTAGTAAGAGGGGTATTTGTCCTTCCCCTTCAAAGTGATTTGCTAATGGAAGTTGGGAGCCTCATCGAAGAAGGCTTCGTAAGTGGATGTATGTCATTTTGACCGAACCACTTTAAATTGGTGTGTCCCTCGAATGTGTGAGTATTTATCTTTCTGAAACCATTATTACATAGCAACAAAGCTTTCGGTTTTCATCTTCTCACTTTACTCGAGCTATTCATTGTTGATTTGAAATATCTACGCATTTAAGAAATCATTTTCAAATTGATTTGAAATATCTACGCATTTAAGAAATCATTTTCAAACATACAAGTTTTAATCCGCTGTACTAATTTCCCCTGTTAGTGTCGCTCCTATCCCTTGTTAGTGTCGCTCCTATCCTAACATAGGTCTCTTAGGTGATTTTAATTACATTCTGATTCCTTATTCAAAATTCCCACTAAGTCCTCTTCTCACTTCCAGTAAAAATGGAATCAAGTCTAATTTTCAAAGAAAATAAAAAAAATTAGTAATTTTTTTTAAAGCTATTAAGACTATCATACATCTAGTCTCCAATCAACAAACTTTTACATGCTGTACAATCTTAGTCACAGCCGGCGCACTAATAATGATTTTTTTTTATATTTATTTCATGAGCACGACACGAAGGAATATCCATTAATTGTCACGACAATACAATCCACCTCAACTTATTGACTGACCAAATAAAAAGTACTTTTGACTTAGAAGCAATGAGAAAACACAGTTCCCATATGCGAATGCCGGAAACCTAGTCCTTTACGATATAATCTTTTTTTCTTACACAAAACATTCACAACACCACAAATTCAAACACAACTTCTTTTTTTTTTTTTTTGAGGTCAACTAAAACACAAATGATTATTTATTTAATCAAGAAAATGCCAAACATATACAAGCACAGGATCTAAATATATGCCTTGCAAAAAAGTTCAAAAATCAAACTGAAACAGAGAAAACATAAGGAGCCAATGTTACTCACATGTTCATTGTGGGCTTCATAATAACTTGGCCACTGGGACCATGTTGCCTTGTAAGGCTCAAGCTGAGCGCTCTGGACCTGCTCATAATACTGGCTTTGGATGGAATAGCTAGGAGCTTCAGAAATGGTTGTTTTGTCCCCTTCATCACCAAACAGCATTGAATTCTGAATGCAGAACAACAATAGGACTAACATAAGGAATTATTGGGTTTGTGAGCATAAATGAATGCTATCAATCATACAAATATAGAATATGAATGCCACTCACAAAGGGGAATGCTCATTGTAACTTGATCTCTAGCACCAGTAAAAAGAACAATCATCACATAATGAAAGAGAAACTGAGGTGTGTGTGTATGATTCCAGTTAAAAGCCACAATCACACTGTGACAAGTGAGCAATTATATAAAATTTTCACTATAAATTAGAAAAAGAAATTTGTGGCCGAAACATTAACATATTGAGAATAGTAGAAAGCATTTTGGGATCAAAACATGAAAACAAATACAAAAAACAAGACATGGTGTACATACACAAAATGCATGTAAGATTAGGTACTTGCCCAGTTCAACTTGGGAGACTCCTCGTTTCCATAGACTTCATAGTAACCCATATTCTGAGGCCATGTTGGCTTGAAAGGCTCGAGCTCGACATGATCGGACGGCTTATGGGAATACCTATCATAGGCAAAGCTTGAACTTGCAAAGAAACTGCTTTCATTATCTCGATCATCATAGTACGACATGGAATTCTGCATAATCGATTCGAACAGTGATGTCTATCAGAGTATGCCAACAAGTTATATGAACCACATGATACTCGAGAATGAGATCCTCTACTCACCCAATCTGACTTTGAGCATGTTGACTCCTGATAAACCTCCTCACTGCAGCTTGATCTGCGAGACCGAGCTGTTTCAATTGGCTCAACTTGCAGATGCAGTGGCTGCTCATAGTGGTGCCTATCGTAGGCGACACCAGCGCCTCCGAAAAAGGCGGTCACATGATCTCTTTCATCAAATGCCTACACGAAGTAAAACAAAGGGGACGAACATTGCTTTCAACAAGAATCACACGAGGTCCATGAGCTGACAAGAAGCCAACAAATTCAAGGTGAAAGTGATGCACTTGATCTTGGTAAGCCTCATGGTGGTTCAGTTTCCGATGCCAAACGGACTCATTTGGATCGATCGCCACTGGAAGAGCCCCCTCGGAGTAGTGCTTGTTGTAAGCAAGAACAGGATTCTCATAACCATGCCTCTCCTCTGTTGTCTCACCGTAGCATGATGCCCTCTACAAGGAAGCAAGAACAATTCAGAATGCAACCACCAAAATCTGGCCAAACAAAGCTCGAACAGTTCGCTCACACTTGTCCGCGCAGCAAGAAACACGCATAAAAAGAAGACACGATCGAATGAGAAAACTTGCGAAATTGCTTCAAGAGAAGTCCAAGATTTCCAAATTATGCTCAAAGATTAGTTTCAAGATTTCCAAATTGCTTCAAGAAAAGTTCCAAGTTTCCCACATTGCTGTCAAGAAAGATCCAAGATTTCCAGATTAAAGGTTCGCAGTCGATTAATTCCGTCCGCACAACAATGTCGGAATTAGGATGGAATCCAAAGATGCAAAGCGAACGAGAATTGTTCGGAGAAGGTTCGTATTTCCAACTCACACTATCAGGATGGTAGCACTCCAGCCTCTGCACCGGAGCAGGCTCGACCTCTACCACGACGGACTCAGCCCCGCCCAGCTTCTTGTTGGCATAGATGGGAATCCCGTAACTGTCGACGCCGACGCGCCTCTCGCCGTACCCTTGCGCGTGGCCGAAGAGGTAATCCAACGCCCGCCTCCAGCTGTTCCAGCCACCGCCGGCTTCGGCATCACCGTGGTAGATCTGGCGGTCCTCCCAGGTGGAGTAGGGCCAGCTCCTGAACAGGTCTGGCGACGGGAAGGGCTCCGGTTGGTAGTTCTCCGGCAAACCGTGGTCGAAGGTAGGAGTGGTAGCGTGAGGGGGAGGGGGGGTTGTCTGCTCTGAAGGAGGGGAAGCGGAGGAGGAGATGGGGTAGCAGGTGGCGGACGAGGGGGGGAGGGGATCGCCGTAGGTGAGCGCGATGTCATATCCGCCGAGGTAGGGGTGGGGGTTGTACTCCTCGAAGTCGTCCTCGTTGAAGTCAACGGGCCGGCCGGCGGAGGGCGGCATGGGTGGGTGGCAGCGTCAAGAACTCAAGAAGTGGAGGGTGGTTTTGGGTCTGTAGCAACAACAACAATAAAGCAATAACGATAGAGGAGTTGGGTGTGTAGGGAGGACGGAGGGGGGAGGAGTTCATCTGCTTGGTTTGCTTTGGTTCTGATAGGGATTGACGGAGACGGGATTTACCGCGAGGGGGAAGAGGGTGTCGGGGTCAACGTTTTCACGGTTGGGCCACCGGAGGAGGAGGGGTATGCCCGATGATGGATGGTGGGAGCCGAGGCGAGGCGAGGCGTCTCCTTCGAGGGTGGCGTGATGGGCAACGAAGGGAAGAGCCTTGTGCCTTGGCTTCCGTGCCTTGCCCGATGATGTATGGGTGGTCAGCCCTACATCACCATGCTTTCACCCGATTCGCCGTCACATCACATGCATGTGAGCTCCATCCATAGATGGTAGATCGCAAAACGCCGCCTCGCCGAGAAACCCATGGAAAACATTTCATGGACACACTACCCAACAGTACTGTACTGATCAGAAACGCGGGAACTGATGTTGATACCCATGCGCGGGTGTCGGTGACACGACTCTGTACCGGAATAAGGTTCCACGTAACTTTCAGGTGAAGAACACTTCTTACATTCCTGTAAATTCTTACCCTATGAACGTAAGGGATATCCAACCGAAAACAAGTCTGTAGGAGATTTGGCTGCAGTTTAAAGTCCAATAGAACATACAAAGAGCTCAAATCTTGAGCTCTCAACTTGACAAAATAAAGACTCTGCATCTCATCTTCTAGGCGTCATAGAATCTTCTCTCTCTGGAAAAAAGTCTTCAAATGAAGAAGCTGCAAACCGGCCACTCCCATGCAGACAATGAAGGACAAAATGCTCAAAGATCCCATCCTTGATGTTGTTGTTTCGTTTAGTCTCCGCGCCTCTTCCTCCCTTGATCCACAAGAAGAGAATGCGTCGGTAGATTCACCCAAATTATAATATGATGTTATACAGTGTAGAAATTATGCCTACCTATTTCTCAAGAATATCATCTCTTCATGTATGGAATTGATTGAATCCTCCAGCTTCTTCAACTCCAGTTCCATCTCCTGAAAACAGATAAATTAGATAAGCATTTCTAGATTAATTAACAAAATGCTTGCTCAAGTAAGCATTTACTTAGTAACACATAATATGTGAAACACATTCTCAATTCAATAGCCACAGAAAAGCTGGCTTCGTCGCCATTTCTTTTGTCATCCAAATTATTCATATATAATGTGCTAGACCCCAATTTTTAGAGGAATACCACCCAACAATTTATTTCGGTATCTTCAAAAATAGAAATCCAGTTCCCATGGATCCCTAGCATGATCTAGATGTTACTGGTCACTTTTGTAGCAGATGAAATGTCTCTTTCAACTGTTATTGAATCTGTACTCTTTTCAATTACACATCTTGTAGTCATTTACAAAGTTTGGCAAGTAAACTAATTCCTTATTCACGATTTCACTGGTCATGTTATATGAAGGAAACAAAATATGTAAAAATCAACAGCAAAATTAGAGAACAAAAAAAAAATCAACGTAGTTGTCACTACCTACTTACTCTCATATCAAAAGTAGAGGTGTGTTGTGATGATTTATATAATTAGACAATCATGTTCTCAACGATGGCAAAAGATCCATGTAGTCAAACCCAAATGGTTGGGACTTGGCTTTGTTGTTGTTATTGCTATAGATACAAGCTTAACAAAGCATTTGGTTCGTTATTTCAATGGACTGAATGATGATAACTGGTATACGAGTGGTCCTAATACTATAGGTATGATGAGGGGGATCTCACACGTCATCTAATAGTGTGTGATTATGGACTATGCGTCGAGGCTTTAGGTTTTGACGAGGTTGTCAATCTTAACAGTAGGAGCACCATGTGATGATTTATTATAGTTAAAAAGGTCCACACTATCTCTAACTTGAGTTTAAATATTCTGTGTTGGAGACATATTACAATGTGGCACCACCTACATATTAGGGTATGATTCTTAGCTATATGTTGAGCCTGCATCTCGACAAAGATATTAGGCCTTGAGGAGGGAGATTGTACAAGTAATTAGTCTCACATAGTAAGTCAAAGAATGTTACCATAATTCATGAGGCTAGATGAGCCTACAACCATAATTTGGGCTTAAGATAATCTGTCGATCGAATGGAACAATTCTCCTATAAAATCAGGTCAGAACACCAACAAAGCACAAGATTAAATTCGCTTCTTCTAGATTCTGGCATTTCTCGAAGGCACCATAATTCATATTCACTTAGTCCTCATACTATGTTATTTGCCTTGATTGAATTAGATACTAAGAGATCCGTCGCCAGCAAATCAAGGGATCAATGGTTATTATGTATTTAAGAAGACGAGAAATTAAACGATTATAACGAGACCAAATTGTTTGTGCAGAGTCAGACTAGCAAATATAGCTGCTCTGACTCGAGTCACATATTATTTTCTAGTTTCTAGACCTTCATCTTGCAACAACAACAAGGCATGCTGTCTCAATTTCGAGATTTCCATGCCATCCATCAAAATTTGTTATTAGAGCTTGAATTTTCTCTTCCGAGTTCTAGTCATAGTAACTGTTGGTTCTCTTTGTGACAGGACCTCTTCTGAGTTATTAATAGTGTATAACCAATAACCAATAACCAATAACAGGACCTCTTCTGAGTTAAATCTGCAAGATTTCAGAACCCTTTTATCCCATTACGAGAATCGGACCACCTAATTTCTTTAAATTTCTTCCCAAGCATTTTACCTAAAGGTTCAGATCACGGACACAATGATGCACAAGGATCAAGCTCTTTATTCAATCTTCACAAATGCGCAACTTTGTACGAGGAAAAAGAGAGTAACTCACATCGATCTTCCCTTTCTTGGCGACGGAGGTCCAATCCTTGGCGGCAATCCCCGTCTTCCACTCGAAATCCACCGTCACGGCGGCTTCGAGCTGGAAATGGGGCGACCAGAAGCAGGCCGTGTGCTTCCCCGTCTCCGTCGCCACGAAAGCGAACTCCCCCGACTCCACACCGACCACCCGTCGCAAGTCCTCCCCATTCGGATCCATCACCTGCGACCCCAAATAACAACAACCGGAGAATCAAATCAAATCAATTTCGCAACGAGATAAAATTAGATCGCCGTAAAGGGGTTTCGGATCAGGGGGATTACGCTAGCGGAGATGTTGTGACCGTAGGCGGGGTCGTCGGCGACGCGAAAGTGGGCGAGGGACATTGCCCCTGCACGGATGTCCTCGGTGAGGCATTTGACGCGGCCGGAGGGGATGTGGAAGACCAGCGCCTGCGAAGGTCGAGAGGACCACACGAAAGCTAGTACCATCAGCAGTAGCAGCGGTAGTCGAAGAGGAGAGGACGAGTCGTCCATTTTGGAGCGGCGAGACCGAGGAGGACCGGATCTGATGCAGGCTGGCCATATGCTTTAATCCCATCAAATATAAATAAATATATTTGGACCATAATTACCTATTTTATCCAATTAGTAAAGTAATTTAAATTATACTTTTGAGTTATATTTTTGTCAGGACAAGCATTAAACCTCGTCACATCCCATTATAAGCTAAATTAGTACGTGATGGCTGTCTAACGCGTTGTAGCGTCCCAAGCACGCTTTGATAACATTCAACGGTCTAAGTTGGGCTTGGACGGGGCAACACAATCTCCAGGCAGGCCGACCCAACTTTAGGGGGCCCATTTTTGCAGATCGAGGGTTCGATCCATCGAGCCGTCATCTATCGGAACAGAATATTCATATAGTAGTCGACTTTTAGTGAAATAGAAAGCCGGATAGTTGCTGGGCGAGTAGAAGAGTTCCATCTTGATTTGCCTGCTACCCCAATCTCACACATTTATAACGCTGGTCATGCAGGAGGTGTGTCCAATGACGGCAGACGAACACAACATCGACGCTGGTCTGCGGGGGAGTTGGGACAGTTGAGCTGCGGCTTTCAGAGAGAGAGAGAGAGATGCGATTCCGTAGGGGGCTCTTCCTCGTCGTTTCTCCACACAAACAGACAGACACTTTCTCTGACAATGGTGCATATACGGCGATGGACAGATGATTGCTGGCTTGACTTGTATGCCGAGCGGACGCATCAAGGCAGGCAGGCATGCATGTGGAGAAATATATACGGACCAATTAATTCGTACGTCTCACATGGATCTATTGTCTTGTTCTTATCACGGTGTTATCTCATTAGCTATCTATCATTTTATCGCCACTGATTAGTGTGGTGTCAATGCGAATGCATTAGTCGCTCGCCCACACAGTTAATATTAAAGCCTTCACATGTATATACCACCACCTATAAGTATAGGCGTACGTCGTGCATTTAATTAGTCGAGATGTGGAACGCTGAAGGGCCACACACATGGCTGCACGGCTTCTGCTTACACAGCTTTACATGGCTTGGGAGAACATACTTCTGCAGCCTGTCTCCGACCGAGACATAAGTAATCGCACAAAAAGTCCATCTTGCTGTCGAGTCCCCACACAAATCAAACAGACGAACGAAGGATGCATGCGGCAATGTGATGCGACTAGCAGATACGAAGCATGCATTTGGAACAATGTCACCGTTCCAAAGATCTCACACCATAAATAGTCGACGGTAATTAGCAAGCCATATCTTGGAGTGGTCCAATATGCTTTGCCTCAACTGATTATGACTCCCACATTGATTACGGTGGAGCAAAAATATATTCTTGCATGGAATCGACATATAACGAACGCTATGAAGAACATATCTTAGTATCTGGTTTTATCGTCCACGTCGAATAGCATTGTTTTCCTCGATCATCCAGTCGATCGAAGCATCGCAAAATCCCACACTTGGCATCCGAGTCTCTGCCTGTGATAGGCAGACGAGTATTAGCTGGTAAATCCGCAACATAGGGTTCGCCACATGCCATTCTGGAATTGTAGTCATCCCTAAGCTTCTGATGCAGAGAACCTTTGCGGTTCACATAATAAACCAGAGAGAGAGAGAGAGAGGGTAGTGTCATGGTCAGACTCATCTAATCCTCCGACGACGACGAAATCGACTTATCATAAATACATCATCACGCTGGCGCGTCGAGAACACGAATCGTGAGCTTAATGGCTAATCCGTTGACCGACCGGATGACTTGGGAAATCACCGTCACACGCGGTGTTTCTAATCCATGGCTGACCAGAGATGAACAGCTGGTTGGTTTGGACTGGTACGGCCTACCCAATAGTTTTTGATGCTCAGACAATTCACACCACCGAACTGATCATCGTTGGATACTTTTAACGTTGACTTGATGAATCCAATGATTTAGACGGCCGATCCGAGGGTGTCAGAACGATCCGGCTTGGGTTCCTTTGACGTCATCGTGGGCATCAGCAGCAGCACCTCGATAGAGAGAGGATGGATGATTAATTGGCTGTGCCGCCAACCTTTTGCTCTGCCTTCAAGCTTGCAAGATTAGCTTCCACACGTTGCTTGTTGGTTGGGTCCCACACGGTTGATGGTGCGGCTTTCGACGCCATTAATTATTATTCTCTTACAATTGGTCGTCGATCAATGTAGCAAACAACGACAATTTTCTTTCATTTTTATGTTTCTCGGCCAACTCTTTCTTTTTTTTTCTTTACATCAACCGGATCGTTGATGTGGATCGAGAAGGAAGTATCTCATGGGATCAACCCATCTCTTCCCGGTTCGATTGCTTATCCCATGGAAAAGCAGAATCAGACACGAGGAGCTCCGATTTCCGCTTTTCCGGATGGATCGATCCATCCGTTTGTGCAACCATGGTTAAGAATAAATGCTCTTTCTTTCTTTCTTCTTTCTCTCTCTTTCTCCTTTACGTGGACTAGGATAGGGAATAGGGATGGGGAGGTGGGTGTAGTAGGCTCACAGGTACACGTTGGAGTGAGGTGGCGGAGGAGCGTTGACACACGTAGGGGAGGAGCGGTGGCTTGAACCCGAAGCCGCGCCCCTGCCGGGTTTTCCGGCAGCCTGCGGGGCCTGCTGGGCGTGAAAGCGAGGCCTTTGGGAGTTGGCCGTTGTTAGCTTTTGGGAGCATATGGCCGCGAGGATTGTGTGAATTCCCGCTGGTTGTATATATATCTGGACATGCTTAACATGATGCTTCTCCCTCGGCGGCTCGGCTCATCGACGCCTTTACTATTACTCAACGAAATAGTTTACAGCTCGATCCGAGTGGAAACACAATCGCCGAGCTATGTGCTTGTCCAGAGCCGAAACACGTGAGCCTTCCTGTTGGTGATGCGTCATCGGAAGGCACGTAGTCGCAGCGGATTACAACGTTGAACAAAAACTCGCCAGTAGGTATGTCCTTCCGACTTCGAAAGGTCGGTTCAGCTGCACGTACGAATGCATCTGCCTACCTCATCTCCTCTTAAACTAATCAATAAAGTTGACATTCATATTTAGTTTCTGGCCTCACAAGATCAATGCCGCAACACACTGAAACCACCTTACTACAAGCTCTCTTGTCATGTTGCAGTGAGATACCTACCAAAATGGACAGGAAGTGGCATAAAGAAGAGAGAGAGAGAGAGAGAGACCAGGACAAACTTAGTATAATCTATTCCTCCACTAAAATATAGGGTGGGAACAGTTATATTCTATTCATGTAAAGAATTATGTGGGCTGCAAAACCAGTAACTGCAGCAATAAAAGACTGGGGACCTTCCCCCATGAGGCTTCTCCTAGAAATGACTTGAATGGCACGGATCTTTGGCTTCGAGGAACCCACCCTGCGCCTATTTAAGTAGCTCCCTGCCCTCTATTTTCTTCTTTCTTAAATCCACCTCGAAGTCGCAGCACAATTTGGTATGTTCTCCGTTCACATGTATCCTCGCTTGTTTTGTTCCCACTCCTGGGTCTTCATTTTGCCTGCAGCGTCTTGCATTTTTGGGAAGTCGTGAGGTTGCATAGCTTTCTGTGTTCTTTCTCTTCATCTTTTTATTCTTGTGTTTCCAAGGTGCAATCATGGTCGATGTTTCGGTGCTCAACATGGATGATGACTGCATGGACTTGCCCCCCGGCTTCAGATTCCACCCCACGGATGAGGAGATTATAACTCACTACCTCTCGCAGAAGGTTATCGACCGCGGCTTCAGCGCAAGAGCCATGGGAGAGGTGGACCTCAACAAGTGCGAGCCATGGGATCTTCCGAGTAATCGACCTGCCGCTTCTCCTCTTTCATACATCTTCTCTTCCACCGTGATTCCTTTTGCTGCTTGGTTTTCTGATCGTGTTGACTCGGGCGTCAAACTTTGTTTCGATTCTAAAGGCAAAGCGAGGATGGGAGAGAAGGAATGGTACTTCTTCTGTCAGAGGGATAGGAAGTACCCGACTGGCATGAGGACCAACAGGGCCACAGAAGCTGGCTATTGGAAGGCCACAGGAAAAGATAAGGAGATCTACAGGGGGAGAAGAGTCCTTGTTGGGATGAAGAAGACGCTGGTGTTCTACAGAGGAAGAGCTCCCAGAGGACACAAGACTAATTGGGTGATGCATGAGTTCAGGCTCGAAGGCAAATTCCCATTCCCCGGTGTCCCAAAGTCCGCAAAGGTAAACTCATCTCTTCTCCATGGCGACCAAACCACGATATTTCCTTTCATCAGAGAACTTAATCGTTTTCCGTTCCTTAATTCCTTTAGGGCAAAACTCACGGGTTGTCGGAAATCTGAACTTTGTGATCGCAGGATGAATGGGTCGTGTGTAGGGTCTTTCATAAGAACATGGGAATAACGAGAAGCCCACCACCACCTGGATCAGAAAGGATTGATTCTCTTGGAAAAGATCTCTTTGACTCTACCGCATTGCCCCCTCTCATGGATCCTCCTTACCTCAGCTCCGACGCGAGACCTAGCTCATGCTTCATCGACAAAGAGGAAGGCTTTGATTTCAAAGATATTCCTAGCTTTTCCGCCATGATGGGCATGGAGGATCAAGTGAGCTCAAATCCGCCTCAGAGTTCGATCTTCTACTCACAAGTCCTTGCTCAAAGCCCTTACTGCTCGTTTCCGGGCCACTTGCACCAGCAGCAAGCAATGACGAGAGCTTTGGCTGCCGACCATGATGCATCTTCTGCCATCAGGAGGCATTGCAAGATGGAGCAGTGCTGGAACAATTCGATGGGCTGCCCCTCCCAGGACACCGGCCTGAGCACCGATCGCAACACCGAGATCTCCTCCTCCATGGTGTCAAATCACTTTGGCGACTTCGACAATCCTTCATGTGGACCGCTGATAAATTTGGACAATATATGGAAGTACTGAAGAGGCTAACTCCATGGGGTTACGATCGCTTAATATCTTATCTCCAACTCCTCTCATGTCTTATTAATCATAGAGGAGACTGCATGGACTCTTACTGTACATAAATTTCCTATCGTACGCG